CATTTCGGCGCCCGCCGTGGGGCCCGGCCTGCGCCGGGGCCGAGAGCGAACGCTACAGCGCGGGTCTGATTAAACGGCTCCGGCCGCCCCTTGCACACAAAGCCCCTTCCACAAAACCCCGTGTCTGTCCGTGCCTTCTCCCACCGCCGCCCATACGCGTCTGGCATGGCTCACCGCTGTAATTCCGGCACTGTCTCCACGTTGTGGGCGTACACGTCCAGTCCCGACAGCGCGACTTTCTCCACGGCTTTAAGGTCCCCTCGAAAATCGGGAGTTAGGCATTCCACCAGGATTTTCGAATTCCTGAAAAGGAGAGATGAACACGTCTATGGGATTTGTGCAACTGCTGCTGAAAAACTCAATAACGCAAAAAAACCCAAACCACTAAATAAATGGCGCTCTGATACGGAAAGCAAAGTTAATTCCGGATACAATTCTAAACCAACAGATTTCTGCAAATACTTGTAATACAATTCAAACAAGACGTCCTGTTTCATTCCTGATGTTACTGACGTGAGCTGAAATAGAATGAAAGCCAAATAATAAATACAAAAGTGATTCCAACAGTCTCTTCAACAATCACATTCACTGTTTACACGTGATTTTCCGTGTGTCTCTGTTGCAGGTTAACACGAGCTTAGTATCATAGCTCCGGAATACAGAGGAGCTATAATTCTGCCTACTGGAACAAGAAGACTCCACATTATTGCCCTGGAAGCTAATCTTGGTGTCCAGGAGTCTGATTTCAGCTCAGAAAGGCAGGTGGAGAACACTGCAGGAACCCTTCGAGTCTCAGGCTACACTGGACAAAGACTTAAACGAGCTTATACGAACTAAACCTGCAGGTAGGCAAGCAGGCTATCAAATGACGTGGAGGGCACTGATGTAGAGGGTGAAGAAGGCACAGCCAGGGAAAGCAGAAAGGCACCATCACAGAGTTAAAAACAGCCATTGTGGGAAAACACAAAGCAATCTGATGGCTGCTGAAAGAGAAACCCAACTTCTGTCATGTGGTGACAGTTATCTAAATCTACTGTGTTTGAGCCCCAAGCTTCAAGAATGAACATATCTCAAAAGTATGTACTCATTTCCTGGTAAACCAGCTGCCTGTTCAAAGACATAATCCATTGCTTAGCTTTAAATAAGCCTGGGCTACATTGGAAATGCATCCAAATTCAAAATACTTTGGGGCCATTGTATAAGAAAGATGAAGAGCAGGAAAAGAAAAGGGACACAAGATGGGCTAAAGGCAGACTTTTGTATCTGCGTGGCCCCTGGAATAATCCAGCTAAAGGTAGTTTTGACCTATACGCAGTACCACATTCTAAAGTTTTAATAATAATGTAATACATTAATGATATACCTTTCTTTCAGATGAGAGACTGTCTTTGCAAAATGTTCTGCTCCACCGTCGGACATATCTAGAAGCATTTCAATTACTCAGTTAAGACTTTCTGTTCAAGAAATGTATTTACTTATTAGCAAAGCCACAAAACCTCTACAGATTCAAATTTAAACGCAAAATAAAAAGCAGTCAAACCCCAGCCTTAACGCTTATAACAAAGGTTTACAACAGATATTCTACCAAGCCTTGTTCTGCGCCGTCTAACTGTGATCATCTAGGGCAGACTTCAAATGTTTAATCCAAATTTACCTGTCTCTAGGTTCCCTGTCAGCCTGAGCACAGAACGGCTTTATCTATTTATGTTTTTGGTCTGAGAAACAGCTCTACAAAAACTGAAATGCGTGTATTGAACGTATGTACATATTGTATGTCTTTTGTTGCAAGCCGCTTTGAAGCTACTGGACTTCCCACCATATTGAACGGTCTTTACCATGGTTTTCTCCACCTATGTGGTGCCTCCACAAAGGAGCTACTACAACCTTAGAAAAACGCTGCCTTCAGTTTTGTAACGTATAGTAGATGCCGGGTTTAGTTTTTGGAAGGAAGTTCTGTAAAGGTATTGTATATGAATGTTTGTGGGGGTTTTTTTTTGCTGATCAAATAATAGAACACAGTGTATATGTATGTAGTGGAAAAAAAATAGCTAAAATATTTTTTAAATTATTGTAATATTTTAACATTCAATAACAGTGTAACTTCTGTTCTATTTCGCCAGACACAGAGAAATACTAAGAATACGTAGAAACTTCCCGAAGTTTCAGCCCCGTCGACTCCTTTAAAATAGCAATCTTCAACAATTGCGCCGAGTGCTAAATGTTTATCGAGGTTGTGTTTAGCCCATGTGAGACATATGAGATCTTAGACTGGAAGACACAAGCAACAACATACTAACCGTCTCTGTCCACAGACGTCAACACAACATAATCCAAGCCCCACTCAGCTATAGCCTTTGCTGTGTTGTAAGGCTCCTGGGGATCCAGTGGAGGTGGATTTTTTGCTGTCTTTACTGAACAAAATCTGCAACCTCTAGTGCATGTGTCACCCATCAGCTGAAATAAGAAAGACATTCCTACCTTTACATTGTACACGTCACTATGGCTCAGCTGAGAAACAGCTGCATAAGCTAGATCAGAGAAATCCCAATACTAAGCAAAAATACTAGGACAGAGCTTTAAATTTCATGCAATAAACCCACTCCACTACAGTAGAGATCCAAGAACACAATTCAAACAGCTCCAACATTAATAGAAAGAATACCTAAGAAATGGTTAATGGCTTACCATAATAGTAGCCGTAGCTGTAGCGTATTCACCACCTCCCCAGCATTCTCCAATGTTGGGACAACGTGCTTCTTCACATACCTGAAGTTAAAAGACAGTAATGGACTTGTCTTTTTTCAATGTTGTTACTGAAAATTATTACTATTAATCAATTTCAACAGTAGCCTACAAACAAAACATAATTGATGATAAATAAGGAGATTAACAGAGATACATGTTGTTCTGTAAGAAGTCAGTGGAAGAGCTAGGAAGAGAAGAATTGTTTCCTGACATCCATTACCATTCTTTTCCTCCACTTCGCAACTTCAAAAACTCCTCAACCACGTAACTGTTTTCTTAATTAGCACAGATTGCCATTAACATTTTAAATTTTAAAATTGATATAATGTTCACAAAGCCTATGATTCATCAAAGCATGATCTTACTCTGAAAAAAAAAAGGAAAAAAGCTCTCCATGCATACGCACCACTTTTTACCATCTGGAAGGTATATTTAATGAAATACAAATATTTCTAGACTTTCTTTTCATGCAAAACATGTATGGAACTCTGAAATTGTGTGTGTTTTCATTAAAAACAGTTACACATAGCATCTTCTGATTTCTTTGATGATGCAAGTAGTAAACCCTAATATTTAAAATCCCAGCAGGAAAAACATTAAATACTCTATTGGATTTATCTTAATTCTTTATGGATAAAATTCACTGCTTGCCAAAAGGATCAGCACGGGACTTTGTTTCAGCATTGACGATATGCAAGACATGATTTCTACCTGTCCTCCACAGAGAAATATTTTTGTACCTGTAAAAAATGCCTTATTTCTACAGGAAAACTTGGTTAGTACTATATTTACCGTATGAAGATTTAAACTTCTCAAGGTATTCTTTAGTTTATTGTAGTTCTTTCCCATGGGAATCTTTGTTTTCAGCCATGGAGGAAGTCGCAGCCTGAAAAACATAAAGGAAACATAAACAGATTATTTACATGGCAAGCTTTCATTAATTCCATAGATCCACTTCAATTTGTTACAGATCCCAACTAGGAAAGGTTCCTTGAAAACTGACGCAACTCAGCAACGAGTATTAACATTATTCATAGTCATAACGGACTTTTATCTTCCGTGTTTATCATCGTCCCAACATTCAAGAGTAGTAGGAGTTTGTCGTCATTGGAAGCTTTAAAACTGTTAACTGTACCGCTGGGATTTAATAGTGCCGCACTGGAGACTGCAACAGTTAACGGTAGCATATGTTAGACTGCTATCACAAAGTCTGATCAAATTTATAACTGGAAATATAGGGGGTTTAAGATTTTTTTTTTTAAAATTTTTTTTTAAATTTGGTTTTTTTTTTTTTTTTTTTTTACTCTGTCAATAATATTTCTTCAGCATCAAAGTATGGTACACTCACCTACTGGTGCGTATTTGTAATTCACTCCAGGCCATGACACAAGCACTCAAATGAGAAAATACTACTATGTCTATGTTTCGTTACGTATTTGAAGTGAATGCTGTGTTTGTTCTTGAAAAATTAAGATATCGGCAAGCTAGTATGACAGAACTTAATACAAATACACGGCATGCATTTTGTAGTTACTACTAAAGACGCACGATACTGCATGGAAGCAACTACACTTGTTCGAAACGACAATTACCTTTCTCCTTTCTGACGCTTTAAACTGCCTTTGTACTCAGCCCACGCGCTCTTGTCTGACAAATCGCCGGTTACAAAGTCTTGTAAGTCCGGTCCGTTTTGCAGGAACTCTTTTTTCTCCTGGGGCAAAGATCCCGACGTTCCGTGCCGGCTGCGCGCCTGGCTCCCAGACACCTACAAGAAGCAGCGCTGCGGTTCATTCAACTACAAACGTGCGAGCTTTATGTACTAAACAACGACTTGTCCTTTTGGCGGTAAAGCCATCAGGAGACAAGCTCGGATAACGGCACCGTCTCCCGCC